GGGCCAGTTCATGATCAGAATAAACCTTGCTTTGCATTCATTTCCATTATTAAAACATCTGATTTATTGCAAATGTATGTTCAGAGTTCCTAGGGCTGGGCTATTAGGAAACACTTTTTCAGTGTTAACTTTCCTTGGAGATAAATTGTAGTTTTACCATGCATAATACACAACAAAGTAGCAGATCTGAAATATATTTTGTGATTGAGAAGTGCACAGGATTTCTTAGTACATAATTTGCTGGCCTGCCTCAGTAAATGATTATCCAAAACTGCAAAGGGGAATCCTGTAGCATCTCACGATCTCAGCTGTAAGGTTGGTGAGCATGTTCAGCTAGCAAGAGGTTAAATATGGAAGCTGGCATTCATGCATTTTTTGCATGCACAGTCTGGCTTAGTTCAGTACGCAGAATTTCAGCACCAACTTGCAGAAGTTACTGGATTACTGGATTTATCCCCTGATCTGTACAAACGTTACATATAAATGGAAAAGCACATCAAATTGAGCTGGTCCAACATTGACATGTAGCTGATAAGCCTATATAAAAAAAAGTGCAAGGTTGGAATATGAATTAAAGGTCAATCTCTTGATAATGATGTATGAATTCAGAATGCATCAACCTTCGAGCATATTAAATTCTTACAGCTTCAAATGTGCATAAATTGAAAAAAATCCTGCAGTAGTTTGAACAATTAGCACATTGTAACTTAAGAGCTTACAAATTGCAACCCAAGCACAAATGTTTTTAATTCCTTTGTGACAGATGTACCTGGAGGATTTTATAGAATTTTAATAGAACCTGAGGTTATATTAAAGGCAGACTTCTTATTTCCAGCACTTTTTGAATGCTGACTTTTGGCTTGAGGGTAGGAAGGGTGGGCAGACTGTCTGAGCTCTCTTGGTTATTCATAAACTGAGCTCACTCAGACCAAACGTGCTTGTAATTTTTAAAGTCATGCATGTATGTATGTAAACATTTCCTACTAGTATGTTGGCCTAAGAAAACAGGGCCTTCCTGTCTGTCCTCCCAGCTCCCACATATCCTCAAATAATGTAAACTTTTAGTACAATACTGTGGCAAATGGGACAATGGTAGAAAGATAGGAAATAATTGAAGAGAAAATGTCTTTGAATGCAAGATACAGAATGAAATCTGCTGGAACCCCAGGTATGTCTCCTAGTGATTTTATCTGGGAGATATAGTACTGCTGAAATGGAGCTTAGCATTTAGAGAAGAGGCATCATAAGCTAGTTTCCAAAGGAACTTTTTGACAAGGATCCCTTGATGAGAAATTAGGTGGCAATGCCATCCTATTTCAGGTGTATATGTCAGAGCTTCTTTTACTTGGCCAGGTTGCTAAAAACCAATCTTTTTAACTGAGTTTTGTTCTTTTATTCAACTGTCTGACAGTATGTGTGTATGTCTGCCTGTGCAGCTCTGCTCTGTCTCTAGGCTGCTGGTGCTTTTCTGCTGTGTGTGTTGATAGCACACTCTGGGTAGGTCTCAGGGGAAGGCTGAGAGCACTGCTGCAGGGCAGACACAGGAAATCATGCTGTGCCTCAAAACTGCAGAAGAAGTTGATGGAAGACACAAGGAAATGACTTCTTAGAATAAAAAAATCTCCCGCATATTTCATTAAGTTTATTTTTTTTAATTGAAGTTACGGTCTGATCTTTAAAGGATGAGGTTGATGGATTGTATACTATAATCCATGTGCTCAGATGGAACTAAATACAATTTTATGTTGCCTTCTTTGTTGCAGCTTTGCAACTAAGAAAGTCGGGCATATACTACTACTACACTGGAATTGTTCACTTGGCCATGTGATCATGGTTTTAGAAATGTCCCTAGATTTGCATCTAGCAGTCTCTCTCACATGTTCTGTAAATACTGGCCTTATCTTTCACATGTTGATTTGAGATTCAGAGGATGTACCTATAGCAGATCAAATATGCTCTCCTTTCTAACCATTCAAGTGGCTTAAATTTGATTTGTCCCTATAATGCTTCCCTACTGCATTCATCAGTTTCTTTGTTCAGTGGCTTAAACTGTGAAATAGGATGAGGTCGTTTCTGTGTATTACCAATGTTACGTTATTATTTGGAGTGGGATAGAATAAGAATAGTAAAACTCCAACGAGGTTACCAAATGCTTTAGATCCAGAAACAAGCTGTTTAAAAATAAATAATCTTACCCAATCATAAGGCTTTTTGTTTGTTTTGAAATGACCTTATAATGTACTATAATAGCAGTGTGTTGTCAGCTAGCCTCTGGAATGCTGTCCATGAGAAGTCCTTTCCCTAAACTCTATGGCATGCAGTTTATTTCTAAACTGTGTTTTATTTGAACTTACTCTATCTTGAGGAGTCCATATAGCGCAAAGAAATTTTCTGGGATTCTGAATGGCAAACCCATGGGAGCTCATGGCAGAACAATTTGCTTGTAGTGGTAATGCAGACAACATTTCACTAGAAACTCTTGTTCAAGAAGGTTGTAAGTTTGCAATTTGATTTTTTTTTTTTTTTTTTTTTTTTTTTTTTGAGACCTTTACTTGCATAAACAGCATAGATAAAGGTAAGGAAATATGTATGAATAGCTGTTTACAAAATTCGCTGCTTATCTGTTCAAAACAAACAAAAGCAACACAAACAGGCCATACACTAAAACCCTTCTCTTAGAGGTGGAAGGAGGATATCAGCTCAGTTATCCTGTTTTCTTCAATTTGTAGGAATGAAGTAAGAATGGTCATAGATCCAGACTGAATTCTTTTTTTTAATATCAGTATGTGATTTTTTTCTGTCAGTGCGATCAAATGCAGGCTAAAATAACAGATAAGAATCAAGTAACTTTATCACCTCATGTTACACTTGGTTTTGATGGATCCAAGGTGGTAAGGTTCTATCCACTGAAATTGAACACATATTTCATAAAGTTAGATGTTTTTATAGGCTAAATTAATTTTCCAAACGTGGAACAAGATTCACTTGTCAAACCTCTTAGCAGAATAAGCAAAAGCTGTTCATTTAAACTCTGATGAAGCTTAGGAATTAAAACCAAGTGCAACTACTTGTCCTTAATAGACCAATTAGATACATATGAAGGAAGCTAATTTAACAGAACTGACATGTACATATGAATTTCCTATTAGGATCTAATGTGAAGTGTTCTTAGGAAGATCTGCTTTAAATGATTGACATTCAATGTGTTTCAAGGGTATTCTGATAGCACACATGGGAACAGAGTTAGTCTGCACACTGTGCAAGAAGGATGCCTTATAAAGTGCTAAGAGAAGTAGTTGGAACAAAAAGTAATTGCATTAGGGATGCCAAAGATTCTGTTTGGTCTGCAAAAAAAAAAGCTAGATGAAAAGCAGATTTCTGAACAGAAAATGCTGGAAGGAGACAAATTTTGAAAGATAGTTTGCATGTATGTGGTGTGATGTCTGATTTTTATTTTTATTTTTTTTAATCTTTGGATCAACAGTTTAACAAGGTCTAAGTGCCAGAATTAACAATAGCTTCTAGGCATTCCAGAACTATGACTAGGGAAGTACTTAACAGGAGGGAGAGAAAGTGCTCTATCATTGACATATTTGAGAAGGCAGTGAAAGGTATATTTTAAGATTAGTCCTCTCCGTTGTGTCTAATCAGGAAACCAACAGTTGGAGAAATTGTGGAACTGTTTTCCATTTAACTCTACAGGTCAAATGTGGAAACAATGCAGAAATATGTGTTTGAAGAAATGAATGTCATTTAAGAAAAAATATTTTGTAATTTCAGTGCTTTGCAGGAAGATGACACTAGTAATCTTTGACTTTTGGTAGCATTCTTTTCAAATATATGAAATAAACTTGTATTGGGACATAAATATACAGGCAAGGAAGGAACAGGAGTGAAGTCTAAACCATACAAAGTGTTTAGGGATTTGTTGGAGATTTTTTACACCTAAAGCAACTGGGTAAACTTGTGAAGTCATGAAATTATTCTATGTGAAAGAACCACATTTTTTTTTTTATCACTTCATTTGTTATTTTTGAAATACAATCATCAACAGATCTTTTCTGCCTTTTGTCATGGTAGCTGCTGGGCTGGCAAATCAAAACATTTCCCAGTCATCTCTTCTGCTTGTCACATCTAGTTGGTGGCATGCTCAGTGATCACTTGGGTTGTATGGTTGCTGTGCTGCAGGCAGAAACTGTGACCTGATTGTCCTACCAGCACCTAGTGATAGTGCCTCATTACAACTTGCCTTTGACCAGGCAGATAACCTACAGTTTTTCTTATCACCGCACACACAATGATTTTAACATTTCTGAGTGAAATAGAGTTTTTCCTTTTCATGTCCTATAAATCTCATGTTGCATCACTGTAGTGGTGAGCTTTGTTATCTGAAAACTGTTATTAATTATGGCTTATCCACTCAAAGATCCTTAGTGAAAAAATTCCATCTTTAGTATTTTCCTTGGTAAATTCTTACAATTCTGCATATTTCATACAGCTTGAATGGAATAACCCTGATGTTTGCCTCACAAAGGGGTCAAAGTGCCAACCAAGGTCTAAATCCACCAAATACTAATTGTAAACATTAAAGAACTGCAATGCAAACAGCTGCAAAACTGAGGTACTTCATTTTCAGGGTCCTTTCCTTTTAGCTTACTGAAGTGTACACAAATACCTAGGTCATCTTATAGTCTGAGTATCTTTCTGTCTGTCAGTGTAAAAATACTGTATTTGTAGGACTTCTATTATAGCACAAAAAATCAAAGACAGTCCAGCAGGCATGTATGTGGAAATCAATAGAGCAATTCGATAATGGCCTCATTTTGTGCTGTCTATAATGATACAACAAACTGACAACATGAATCTGAACTTCAGCTGAAAGATATGGATGACATCTGTAATTGAATGGAGCTTGAAAAGGATACTAGTTATTTTAAAAACATGACATTAGTGTATGACATTAATTACATTAGTGTACAAATTAAATCAAAGATATTTACCTTCTTCTTTGATCTTTCTGACTTCTTAGAAATATTCTTTACTTTTGTGTGGAGATGATACAAAACCTTGAAAGAAGGAACAATAAATTGAATAGCAAATTGAACAATATATATTAGTATTTGAACTTCATACACAAGCGCTATAAATTAAAAGAATTGCTCTAGTATGACTTCAAAGTTGAATGTGATGCTTTCAGACTTAATTTTAAGCACTCTCCGATTTTCTTTTCAAAGCTTGTTTCTTGAAGGTGAAAATGCTAAGCTTTCAGAAGATGTAGCTCAGCATTACGTAAGAGCTCAACTGGCTGTGTGCTGAAATTGACAGGAATCTTGACATGGATTTGAAATTTTAGACTGTGCTTAAATCATCTACATTTACTCTCTAGGCTGTTTACAAATAAAGGCAGAGACCAGGCTACCAGCACTGTACTCTGGTATGACTGCCTTGCCACTCCTGAGTGCAACACTGACAAATGGAGCAGTTGCATGGGTTCCCCTTTTGGAGAGCACTGTCAGGAAAATCTCAGTTAATGACATTTAAATCAATCTTTATGCACCTGGTTATAGCACAACCATGACCTGACAGCATTTATACTTCAGCTTTTGGAGGTAAAAGATTGAGTTTTCTAAAGCAGTTAATGGACAAAATAAAGCCTCTGTTAAATGCACCTTACTTTTCATTTGCTGCTGTGCTCACCAAGGGCAGTGAGGGGAAAAACAACTGGAGTCACAGTGACAGAATTTATAAACTAGTGGCATTTTCTTGTTTTGACAGGCAAGGCCTGAGAGGCAGATATCTTCAGCTTAAACCTAAGTGCCTTCTCCTTTTCATAGCACTGATGATATTAAAATAAACAGCCTTGAAAGCATCATAACTTTTGATTAAACAGGCATGAATTAAAATCCCAAGACAACTTTTTTTTCAGGAGAGCTGACCTGCAACTGACTAGAGATAAGGAAGTCCACTCCCTGGCAGTCACAAGCTGCTGCACAATAAAAGATAAATTAAAAAGTCACAGAAAAATTATTCTGGAAGTCTAGCATGACTCATAGGTCTCAGACATTCTAAAGATCAATCAGGGGAGACAAAAAATCAGTAACAATCCACAAGAAGTGAGAAAGAAATGCCTTGCTGAATAAGACTTGAATCCTAAAATGTCTTTACGAGTCTTTGCAAGACACAAAGTTGGGACTTCATGTCCAGTAAAATGAAGAAATTGCAGAAATGATTTTCTCTGATACTATTTCTGTAACTTTCTGCATGGTTGCTTCCTCTATAATTTTCTTTTCTTCCTAGGAGTAATCAATTTTTATTGAGAGGACAAACTAAAAACTGCAAAAAACAGCAAAAGTTTTTAACAAATTTGGGTGTCAGCTGAGCTTGTAGCAGTTCCTCACTTTGTACCTGAGCAGAAATGTTTTTCAGTCCTCTTTGTGAGATGGTGATTCTGCTCTATTCTACAACATCTGTCATATCCCCCCAACACCAGAGAAGCATCCTGTCCTAGCAGGGAGTATAATTAAATTGCATCTATTGGATTTGTTGGCTGAGTAAGTTTGCATGTATGAATCCAAGCCAGCAAAAGGCTGGAAACGATCCTTTCCTCTCTTTGAATGTTGCTCTCATCCCTCTTACCCACCTTGGCGTAGCAGCAGGTGATGAGCACCAGAGGCAGGAGGTATCCTACTAGCAGGATCATAACCTTGTACGTCTGCTTGGCTGTTGAGCCCTCTGCCCAATTCTCCCAGCAGAAGGAGCTGTTGGGTGCTTGTTGATGACCGCTCATAAGGGCCTGGTGCTGGGCCACAGGGATGGCAATGAGTAGAGACAGCAACCAGATGACACCCACACCGAGGGCAGCGTTGCGCTTGCTGCGGATGCTGGACGAACGCTTGGCGTGAACCACAGCGATGTATCTGTCCACAGACATGGCCACCAGAGTAAAGATGCTGACCAGCATTGTTGCCATGGCCAGGTAGTGAACCCACTTGCAAAAGAAGGCACCAAAGATCCATTCTGGCAGGGAGTAGATAGTGGCCTGGAAGGGGACACAGAAGAGTAAAAAGGAAAAGTCTGCAATGCTCAAGTTCAGGATGAAGATGTTGGTGGCACTGCGTGATGGGCGTCCCCCAGGCCGGAGACGACCCAAAACAACAAACACCAGTGTGTTCCCCACCATTCCCAGGAGAAAAATCAAACCAAAAAGCACTGGTACGATCACCACCTCAGGACCTCCCTTGGCAGCCCCCGACCAGCACGGTGGTTCTCCTTTTTGGTTAGTCTCGAGGCTGCACTTGCTGGTGTTGGCCCCAAAGAAAAGCACAAAGTTGTCTTCCTCCTCCTCCATAGATCTAGGCTGCTTAGAGACCAGGGAGCAGTTGCTGCAGCCCTGACCGCTGTGGAGAAGATCAGTGTTTGTTAATGGTGGCCAGAGGCTGAATGCTTGGGTTTTCCAATGCCCTGTGCCTTTGCTTTGGGAAGCAATTTTCTTCAGATGATTCTTCCAGATTCTGTATCTTCCAGGAAGTCAGACAAAGGGTTCTGAGGAACTGGTCTCATCTAAGAGGTTTGGTAGCTGCTGATGGAGGAGATCTTGTGACAGAGGAGATAAGTCTGTGCCAGGAGGGCTGAGGATGAAGCAATGGTAAAGCAGTGGCAGCCTGGTTTCCTCACGCTCCTCCTCTTCAGCGTCCCTCCCACGCCACTCCCTGGAGCTGCGCCTGTTGTACCTGCTTTCCAGCTCTGCTTGGAGCTGTGGTAGCAAAAAAAGTGCTGTCCATGACCTGAGCCTTTCAGAGATTAATCTCTATCAGCTCAGTCTTCATATGAGATTAGACATGGGGGGAAAAAAGCAAAAGCAAGTTTCTATTCAAAGGGATAGATGGAGCAGCAGATGCTAAATGGTTGTGTGTGCAGTACTATAAGGAGCAGCACTGGAACTGTCTACATGAAAATTTAAAAAAAGCTTTTTTTTTTTAATCAACAAAATAGTGTTTATTATTTGTTTCAGTTTTTAATGTGCACACGTTAGAGCATGAAGCAATCTGGATTGTGGTGCTGTCAGCATAAAAACCTGAAGAAGTCTTAGATTCAGCATCTTGCTCCTGCCTCTTTTTGGTTCTTTCCAAATCCCTTAGTGCCTCAATATTCACGATTCTTGTAGATCCACCTGAGCTCAGTCCAAGAGCATTTGCTCTGGAGAAAAAAAGGCTCAGTCTCAGTAACTGTGAGCAGCTGTAATATTCACTACTAGGGAAGAGATGGATTATTTTAAAAGATGTTTCATTAAGGATTAATGGCTTAGTTTCTATGTTCTGGATACTTGCATATAGAAAAAGTATGCATACTCTAGAAGGCACTAAGCAACTTGTTTTTGATAGTCTGTTTCCTTTTATTTCTGAAGACATTCTGTGAACCCTACAGGCAGGAAGGAGAGAACAAAGTTCAGGCAAATATTAACAGTACTTGCACAGAGATCTATGCTTGCACTGTAGCCCCTTGCATAGAAGCATACATGTTTTTGTTTTCAATGGTTCCAAGTTTAGGGACTAGATCAAATTGGACCTCTCTAGCTCCTATGAATAAGGAGATTAGGGTGGAGGGAGTCCCTTAATTTTTGAAACTGCAGAAACTGAGAGCTACTGTGACTTGTCTCTTGTTGAGAGAAGAGGTAGTGTTGCCTTATTTAGCCTGCTCGCATAGTCTTGTTTAAAACCTGTTGCAAAGCCAGGCTCTGTATTCCTCCCACATCTGCATGCACCCATGGTTTTGAGGTTGGTTCTGGAATGAGATGGAAAGCAGACAGTGAGAGATGCTTAAATTGCAATGGAAGATGTATCTACCTTTGTTGTGTGCCAGTGGGTGGATCGCTATGGCTGAACCAGCCACCTCCAGACAGCATCCTCTCTCTGCAACCAGGAGTTTCCACCTGCACCTCTCCGTGTCTTCCGCACCCCAGCAGTTCTGCTTACTGAGGCATAGCAATTCAGACACTGTTAAATATTGCAGTCTCACAAATCTGTTTAGCTGCTAAGATCTGTGCTCTCAGCTCGCAGACAACTGCTTCAATGTACAGGTTTCAGGGACCCCCCACGCCCAGCGTTATGCCGATGATTCGAGTGCCATCTACCGGCATTCCACCTCCTTCACTGCTCGCAGATCACTCCTGTGCCGCTCTGCGCTCTTGCTCCCTTTCAAACATTCTCTCCATCCAGTCGTTCAGTAGCTAACTTTATCTGCTGATTTTGTTTGTTTAGTGCAGTCGTGCTAGAAACTATTATTTAAGAAGAACCCACAGCAATCAGAGTAAATGCATGCTTTTCTTTCTTATATAGGATTTGAGCAGAATAATAAGCAATCATAACACAAGCGGTTTCTCCTACAAGGGGTTTGAGACAATAGGAGGAGGAATTTGCATATAACCTGCAGAACAAAAACAGCTTTACAGATCTAAAAGCTTGTACAGCATGCTACTCAGAAAATAGGAATAAGACAACACAATTCTGCTAACAAGGAGGAAAGGATTTTAGAGTTTGTCAGATTTAAACGCAAAATTTTTCAAAAACCTCCGGAGTGCTGGTATATGGTAACTGTTGAGTCACGGCCTGAACCACTGATGGAGCACCTGGGGAAAGGACCCAGTCAGCCCTGGGAGCACAGATGAAGGCAATTCACCTGTGTGACCAGGAGTGGTGAGGCCTGGCTGCACCTCTCTTAGACCTCATTTAAGGGCTGACTGCTGCTGGGGAAGGATCTCTTTCTGGGGGTCCCTCCTTGGTGAAGCTTTCCCCTGCAAACCTGGTATCTTTTGATACGGATGAGTAATCTTCTTCCTTTACGGTACTTTTCTGTTGTGCTGATCTGTTATCGCATGTTTGTTGTTGTACTATTCCCATTGTACCGATCTGCCCAATTGCTACACCTTGCAAAATGGGTGTTCCTGGCTTTTCTATCCCTCTTTAGAATACAATTCAGGTAATTTAAAAAAGAAGGTAATAAAAATACAAAAAAGCTCTGTTCTGTACTGCTCTAGCGTTTCTAGATTTCAGTGAGAGTTGTGACTGGGGAAGGAAGTGAAAAGAGTGTGAATATTCTGGATGGAAAGCATTATTGACTTGCAAATCAGGTGGAAAAACTCATCTTGTTTTCAGTGGTGAACTCATATACTGCTAGTCTGATTTCAGGTGGATTATGGCTGCTGTGGGAGTATTGCTGGCTGGTCTTACTTGAAAGGAAATAATTTCCATTGGTTATTTACGCATCTTTCAAAAACTTATCCTGAAACTGTGGTTACTGTGACATTTAAAAGTTCCAAAAAAGGCAAAGACTTCTGATTTGCTCTATCTGCTATTTCTTAACTACTTGAAGTGGTCTGATTCTGACAGTGTGATATTCCCCATCCATGAGAATTCACAGCCCGAATGCTGTGGTAGGGAGCTAACCCTGCTAATTCATAAGCCATATCTATTAGTCCAGCTAAATGGAAGAGATCAAGAAACTTTAAGTGCTAGAGCACAAATAACAAGGGAAGATGTAATGTCTGACTTGCTAGCACCATTCATGTGATGTATGGTGTTGTAAAATCCGAAGTACTTGTACTTGAAATCCAGAAACCATGAAATCAGTGTGAACCAAGCAAGGTGAAATAGCTCTACAAATTCTGCTGTTATTTAAAAAAATTTGGCAGATATCACCTAGATCAAGACTGAAATGGATTCCAGATGCAGTTACCTTTATATGAGTTGATTTGGGGCTAAATGAGAGCATTGGCCTCACATGAAGAATCGCTCAAGAGGTATTAATAATACCTCTAATAAAGAGGTATTAGAGGTCTTGTAGAAGTATGACAACATTGGACCTCTCTTAACAAATTAGCACTCCCACAGTTGGGAGAATAGAGGGAGAAGTCTTCGTTGGGAATGAGGGTAGGAGGAAAAAAAAGCTAGATGGTAATATTGAAATGGTAACATTTTTAGCCTATGTAGGTACAAACCAATTTGTCCATTTTCTGATTGCTAATGGATGCTTCAGCTCCTAATTACGCTGAATGCCATGTTGCAAATCACTCTTACTGGTTTTGTAATTGTGCTCAGCTTTTTGATACCTCTGCATTAGCTCTCTAATGCTCTTGATTTTTGAGTGAAAGGAGGCCACTCAAGCCTCATATGGAGCAGAAGTCTTACTGTCATGCTTCTCTCTTTCTCTGAAGAAAGCGGATTACATCTCAGACCCAGATTCATTTAAAGGAAAACAAATAGGCATTCAGCCTCAAAGATCCAGTTCATAGCCTAGAGTTTAGCATCTGTCTTCATATACTGCGCTCTTCAGTAAGGTGACTGGGGCCAAAAAGTACATTAGGCTGAGGGATGAGCTATTTAGATGTAGCTCCTAGGAAACAGGCAGTGGTAAGTCTGAAGAACCTGTGCTTGGACTGTAGCAGTCCACTCGTGCTCTCAAGTCTGGTTGTACCCTGGTGAGAGGAGGTGCAGTATCCATTCTTGAAGAATGACTTTGAGATAGGCAGGAGGTTCTGCCCTGCTCTGTATACACTGGCCCAGAAAATGAGTCCAGATTCAATTCCTTTCCAACCCGCATAATCCTTTCATGAAAGAACTGAAACATCCCCCAGATGTGTCTCCAACTTGGACTGTGAAAATGTCAAAAATAGTATGGTAGGAAAAGATAGAAACATGAAAACCTCAAAACTCTTACTGTACTATATCATAGTGTGTGAAATAAACTGGAATATCGGGGTAATGAGGAGTCATTCTTTCTCACTTTTTAATCTTGGATAGCTGGACAGGAGTTTGGTCAATAATTGCATGGTTTTCACGAGACTGCATTTGTGCATGAAGGGGAGCTTTCAGTGCACCAAAGTGACTTAGTCATACAGCTAGCTGAAAGGGTACTATACTGCACTTAGGCAAGTAAAGTCTCAGTTGTGATGATGAATCTTGCTTCCTTTTGAGGAGTATCAACTAGACATGAGCATGTTATTGAGCTATAAAAATCTTTTCTGGTAAAAAGGATTTAGATCTAAAGCAATTGAGAAGACAGCTCTTTCATTTTAATTGATGACAGTTTCCAGCACAGCTGCTGAGCCCTGTGATGTTGCAATTGAGACAGTACAATTAGATCTTACAACAAACTGAGGTTTACTGATATTTTTTTTTTTTTGCTAGATCAGTTTGTATTATTTTTCTCTTTAATAAGATTTAAAACTGGCACTGTTTTAATAGGGCTATAGCCTGATTTCTTTTGGCTATACATTGTGTTACTTACGTGTTGGTTGAACTTTGAGCTTGTCGAATATACAGTCAAGCAACAACAGCAAATCAAAGCATATTTTTAAATGTTAATATAGGCTAAACACCGAAGTTGTGATGAACAGGAGGGTGTTCTGTGCTCTCTATTTCCAGCCCCACAAAGAAGAGGAGAGTTGTAATAATCCATCTACACATCTACCTCAAAAACATACTTCTGATCAGAGTCTGCTAATTATCCCTTGTTCTTGTGCCTTGTTTCACTTCACTCTCTAAGCTGTCTTCTACTGCCTTTCAATACTACTTAGCATAGACATGATCCTAAATACTGTGAACAAAACTCTGAAAATATTCTGATCTGGCAGATGTTCTTGCTACATTTCGGTCTAAAATTTGCAAGGAACAGGTGTGAAGTAAATATCATTTCTTCAACTGATTAGGCTGTTGATTTGTTTCCTCAGGTTAAATAACTGTATGTAAAATTCTACCTGATTTTTTTCTTATGAT